GAAAAAACTTACCACTAGACTAAGGAACTCAAGTAAAGTTTTCTGAAAATAACCCAGAGCTGACAAGTCAGTAGGAGGGCCTGGATGGTTTCAAGACACAGTTTTTAACCAAGACTTGGACCTCCAACTGTTTTCTTAAACAAAGATTTACATCCCATCCTTGGCTAAATTACTTATAAATTAATCAAATTAATTACTCTGAGTGGATAAGCAGGAGGCTGGACAAGATAGTACTGATGTCAGCCAATGAAGTCTGTGTTGTTTTAACTAAATGTATCAGTGCAGTTTTAAACAGATCTACTGTGCACAAATATGGTAAGGGACTCGCATCCCACCCCAAAGCCGAGCTCTGTTTCCTGTCCTAGGAACAAACACGCCACGTTTTAATATATCTGACCTGATAAAAATGTTAAAATTTCTACAATAAAGTTCATACTTCATAACAATGTTTCATTTATTTTTTTTTAATGGTGGCTTTTATTTGGCTTACATAATTATAGAGTATCAGTAATATTTTTAAGGAGTAAAGCAGACAATCTTAACTAAAGCATTTGTAGACCAATTTAATTCCAGTATTTATTTTGGTTTAAACATATTTCGATAGTGTATCATCATGAAGAAGGGGAAAAAAGAAACTAAGTAACTGCTTAAATGTCTAACAAGTAGAACTTTTAACTTTGTCCTCACATATCCAACCCTATAGAATGTAAGGGTATCGTTTCTTTGTTTTCTAAGTTAGGACTCACGTTATACTTAGGTATATTTCACAGCTGTTGCCTTCCTATTTAACAAAGAACAAAAAAGTTTATAACTCGGAAACACAGACTTTTATGGTTATGAATCAGAAGATTTAAAAAAAATAATTAGAAGGTTATACTTTTTTAATTCACAAACTGACTACACGAGGTCACCTTTGAGTAATGGAAATCTCTGTTTAAATATTCTTTTGGCAACGGGCACCAAGCATTAGATCTTATTTCCAAGCTCCACCGGCTGGGCTTTGTCATTAACATTTATTAACAATCTGAGATGGGGCTTTCACCGACTAATCCGCACTACACAAATGTTTTGTATGGCCCTCCGGAGGGTTTGATGTGACAAATTACGGGCACAGATGATAGCCCCGTGGCTATTCACCAGAGGCCATGTAAAATTAACATGGTACTAATCCAATTTAAACAAGAAGTTGCACAAACAATCCTCTGAACAAAGCAGTTAGATGATTCCAATTTTTATATTCAAACACAGTAAACGCTTTTAATAAAAAGTTTCAGGAAAAAATTTTGAAGTGATTTTCACACACATGAAAAGTGCCAATCTGATGAAGTTATAAATTTTAGTTTTCCAGAAACAGCAGCAGAACACAATTCACTGTGGTAATCCCAAGGTCTGTTACTTTTCTTGTTAGAGCGCTGCACCTCAGTGTCCTCTGCACAACATCAAGGACTCCTAGGGCCTTGAAATCCATTTACTGTGTTGTTTCTGCAGCAGTCATGGGATAAGCCTACCCCGAGAAGGCAAGGACAGTGACAGCAAGCAGAGTGAGACTAATACTGATACTCTCTCTCTCGGAGCGGAAGTTCTGGGTGGAACACTAGTGACCCATGTCTTCTGTTTCGTAACACAGTAACTTAAGAGAAAGAAGGTATCTAAACCTTTGTGTTATTCTCTCTCCTTAAGGACAGTTAAAATTATTTTGCCAAGAGCTTTGGCACAAGGATATACAATACATGAGAAGAAAGGATAACTAGAAAGTGGATAAAATGTGAAGATCCAGAAGATACAAAAGTAGATGAGGATGCCTGTGTTAAGAAGGAAGGGTCTGTGAGAGCCTTTCACTGACTCACCTCTGACGTCAGAACATCTCAACATCCCACTGTAAAACTGTCACAAAGAGCCATCAACTGGGGGGGACTCTATTCAGGACACAACTTACTTATACTTTAAAAAATGCCTAAGATGGTAGAAAACTTGAAAGTCAAAGTAAGATCTTACGTAAATATTTCTTAATAAGAAACACGTTAATTTTTTTTTTTGCTATAGGGCACGTGTGCTTGCCAGAAAGACAGAGAGAAACAGAGAGACAAAAAGTGAGAAATCACCCACCCCAGGGGGATGGCCATGCAGCAATCCCTTCTCCTCACAGGATCTTGGGCACGCACACACACCAGGCATGAGTTTAAGTCACCGGGTCTGGAACTCAAACTGTGGTCGACTACATGGGAGTCCGGCAACATAGCTGGTAGAAAACTTGAAAGTCAAAGTAAGATCTTACGTAAATATTTCTTAATAAGAAACACGTTATTTTTTTTTTTTGCTATAGGGCACGTGTGCTTGCCAGAAAGACAGAGAGAAACAGAGAGACAAAAAGTGAGAAATCACCCACCCCAGGGGGATGGCCATGCAGCAATCCCTTCTCCTCACAGGATCTTGGGCACGCACACACACCAGGCATGAGTTTAAGTCACCGGGTCTGGAACTCAAACTGTGGTCGACTACATGGGAGTCCGGCAACATAGCCATTACGCCAACTGCTGGTCCCAGAAATGATTACTCATTTGTCTAAGGCACATGCCCTGAGAGCTAGCACTGTTCTACCTTTTCGAATGATGTTGCTGATCCCTGTAAAGAATCAAATTACATTCATCTGCCATTCACTTCTCAACCCCTCCACCTCTCCCTCTACTTTATTATACAACTTGAAGGGATTTCGAATCTAATAATGGTGCTTGTTTTGAAATGTCTTCTTTCAGCTCTAAGTGACAACCTAGTTTGCCTTTTCCCTAATACTTGCTAATTTCACTTCTGTTTTTTAGCACCTTACCTTTCCTGTTGAATATCAGTCCTCCCAGCCGAACTGAGGTACATACAAAACATAAATGTAATCTGTATCTAGACCGGGGTCCCGTTCCCAAGATTTCATTATGTATATACGAATACTCCAAAATCCAAGACAAAAAGTTCAAACGACTTCTGGTCACAAACCTCTCAGTAAGGGATAATCAGCCGGCCTGGTGTGAGACATGGACCTTACCTCAGGGAGCGTGCAATTCAGGAAGAAGGAAGAAATATTAAAAATAGAGCGTTTACTGCCAAATAGCATGAGCCCTGAAAAGAAGGTGAAAGCACATCCAGGAGGGGACCCACACCCAAACCCCGAATCCATTTCTGTTTCAGATGCAAACGCCACGCACAGACTGGAGGGACTTTTACACATACTTTGTTTTGACTTTGACTTGTCTCACGAAGTTGGGTGGGATTTCCCACATGTGGCCTCATGCCAACGCTCAGGAAGTTTTGGATTTTGGAGCATTTGAAATTTTTGGATTAGGATGCCCAGCTTTCAGGTGTCACCGAGGACTACACCCTGACTATGGCAGGCCCCTGGCGCATACAGTCTCCACCCCTAGTCCTATCAACACGCAGAGAAGATACTCCCTTTGTGTAATAGTATTGGGTTGTTGGAAAAGTCATGACATATTTTTTCTAGGCAAAAATGCATCATGACTTTTCCGACATCACAATATTTTATACTTATTGACATCTATTGTCTTATCATTTTTAAAATTTGCTATAGGGCATGTGCGCTCATCAAAGAAGGGGTTGAGAAAGCAGCCTCCGGGGGGATGGCCGCACTGCGATCCCTTCTCCTTCTTTCTTCTCTAGGGGTTTGGGCATGTACAGACAGACAGACACACACACACACACAGATGTACGTTTCAAGCCACCTGGCTGGGTCAGCCACTGGGAGCCAGGTGTCTTCGCCACCACACCACTGGCTGGCCTTTTGTCTGCCTGCCTTCATCTACGAAGTGGATAATCTAACAACCTTCATTTGTAAGGCTTTATGATCTCAACTCATCTACAAACTACAAACAAGGAGCACTGTTCACTACTTTCTAATTCACGTGCAGTCCAGCAATACCCTATGAAAGAGGTTAATCATTTAGTCTAAAACCACAAAGATCGCCAATATAACAGCATTTGGTGGTTATGGAGACACATTAAGAAAACACAAACCTGAAAGACTCTGTGCCAATCATTCAGAATAAATCTGACATATTAAAGAAAAGCAAATGTAGAATAAACTAACCATCACTGATCCTTTAACGTTCTTGGTCAAGTGTATTAATTTCCAAATAAAAACATGGCTCAAATTTCTATTTTAACCATCTGAATAAATTATACCCCAGAACAAGATTAATTTCTTGGTGCTAACAGCATTTGTTGTCTAGTAGCAGGAAGGGGGAAAATGCCAGAATAATTCAAGAAACTACTGTCAAGGTTCTCTTTTTTTTTTGGAGAGGTTTTTTTTTTTTTTGTCATAGGGCACATGTGCTTGCCAGACAGACAGACAAACACAGACAGAGAGACAGAAAGTGAGAAATCACTCCCCAGGGGGCATGGCCACGCTGCAATCCCTTCTCCTCCATTCTCCTCTTGGGATCTTGGGCACGCACGCACATGCACCCGGCGTGAGTTTAAGCCACTGGGTCCGGGACTCGAACCACAGTCGACTATGTGGGAGTCCAGCGACATAGCTATTATGCTAGCTGCTGGTCCCAGGGTTCTGAATAACTATGTCTTCCTAGGAATAATATCTCATATATAGTCTTAAATTTGAGGACATGTTAAATAGACTTATCTTTAAATCCCCCCAAAAGGCACTCCCAATGGAAAGATGAAAACTGAGGAGAAACAGAGCATTATAATTTATAAAACAGAGTGTTAATATTTATAAACACTTTTATAAATGAAAGTGAAAGAAGTTACTCCCAGTTTCTTCTGAGGGAAAAAGTTTGTAATGTTTTTAAAAAAATAAGTCTTAATGCATATAACACATTAAAAAAAAAAAATCCCAAACTAATTCCATGAAGCAACGTTGGAGATGCAAATGCAAACACTCTAAACATAATAGATATTGCCTAACATGCAAACTTATAAAGAAACAAGGGAAAAAAGACATAAAACGAATATGCTATAAGCTAGAAACGCCATACCTGTTTAAGTCTGGCAAGTTCTTTCAAAGCTCGTCCCCACTGCTGCTTATAATGCAGTTTCGACTTAGTTGCAGATTCCAACTTTCTTTCAAGTTCAACCTAGCAGTGATTAAAATCGTATCAAGTGAAACACTATACCACTGTGTACAATCACTGAAAGATTATATATACAGAGAGTCTGGCTTAAGAAAGGAGTTTATACAGTGTAACATACGACATGGTCTAAAACTGTTACATAATTTACTATAAATATTATGGCACATCAACATTTTCTTGTTTAAAATATAGTCTTATTTTTTTATTGCCTAACCGCCTATACTAAAAAGAACTGAGTTAGTCCTAAGCTCCAGACAGTTACTATAAATGTATTTAAACATGTATATTACATAAAGATCACAGAGTGAAAAACACATCCAATTTTTACTAGAAGTAGTTCTAGCTGTTAACATTCCAATTTAGCTGGCACTCAAAACCTTAGAACACAGGTTTTTTTTTTCTTTTTTTGAGGCCTATCATTATGTGGAATTTTGTCTTATAACGAAGAGAGCTAGTAGAGATACTTTTATAACTACAATTTGGCAAAACCATGTAATCCTCAAACCGTGAAATGTTTTATCAGCAAACTCAGAAAGCAGTTTACTAAGAAAGTACAGAATCAAAAATATTTTAAGAATGTTAAAATAAACCCGAGAGTAAGAAAAATAATGTTCCTTAATAACACCCATCTAACCTTTATTTTCTATTTTCCCTCAAATATATAAAGGAAAACATGAAAGTGATTCCATTTAAAATATGGTTATTTATATTTGCAGCAGGCAATCTGTTGTGCATGAACTGAAGCCAGCTTGGCGCTGTTTCGGAATGTACTCACTCGGTGTTTCAAACCAAGTCCCAAACAAACCCATGTAGCCAACGGTTTTATTATTAAGTGATAATGTAATAATCTGTTTGAATTACAGTAAAACACTGTTACTCTTTACTGGTCTAATTCTTCCTATCAAGTTTAGTTTTTCACATACATACAGCTCCTAATGTTTTACAGGAAAACAAAAACGAAGACACTATCTGAAAAATCAAAACTTCAGAAAACTCATATGAAAATAAAACGGAAGGAGGAGCAGTTTGCCAAACTCCCTTCACAAAAGACCAGAAAGGTCTCTACAGTAATGGATGACTATACAGAGTCAGGGTCTTTTCTGCTCTACACAGCCCTAGTGCTTGGAATTAAAGCTGTTGATATTTCACAACTAGACTCCAGCATTTTAAGTTGAATAATATTGCAGATGATCAAAGATGATCTCTTCCACTTAGGCCCCGAAGATTTAGAGGAATTACTTATACCCAATGAACCAGATCCAGCCAAACCAAAAGTGGATAAATTATTAATATAATTCACATTTGCATAGTTATTCGTACTAATTTAACACCCATGTAGTTACACGTGTCATTTCTTCTTTTCCTTTTTTAGAGAGATTTCTGCTACAGGGTGTGTGTGCTTGCTGAAAAGACAGAGCTTGGAGATACCACCTCCCAGGGGAAGGGGCACGCTGCTCTTCCTTCTCCCCCATTCTCCCCTCAGGATTCTGGGCATGCACACACACGTTTCAAACTACTGGGTCGGGGACTCAAACCACCGTCAGCTATGTGGGAGTCCGGCACCCCAACCACTAGGTTACCTGCTGGTCTGTCATTTCTTTATTCTCAATTTAAAATAACCCTAAAGTCAGCAAATCTGAAAAACAAACCTCATTCTTCCAATCAATTCCTATCACCCCCAAATCAATAATTCCTAATTATTATTTTAAAGATAAAGATGCCTCTGATTTTAAATAATGTACATGGACCCAACTTCTGGAAAAATGAATAGAACCAAAATTTTGATATAATTTCAGGGCAAGCAAAAATCGAGTTCAGGGCCCTTATTGTAAGTAAGATTTCTAGACACTTTTGAAATTATTATTTTTTTTAAGAGAGATTTTTGTTATAGGGCGCATGTGCTTGCCAGAGAGAGAGAGAGAGAAAGAGACAAGAAGCAAGAAATCACCCCCCAGAGGGGATGGCTATGCTGCAACTCCTTCCCCTCTATTCTCCTCCCGGGATTTTGGGCTCGCACCCACACACGCCCAGCGTGAGTTTTAAGCTGCCGGGTCTGGCACTTGAATCGCGATGAACTACATGGGTGTTCAGCAACGTAACATTACGTCCTCTGCTGGTCCCTGCAATTACATTTTTATCTAGATTTTCTTGGTCCATAAATAATGGTACCGGACCATAAGCCAAGTTTTTACTCCTAAATGGAAAACTCAGCCCGAGACCTAGAGTCAGCTCAGAGGTTAGCAGAGGCCAGTGCTCACTGGTCCGATCTTTCTGTCCCCACCTTTGATGTAGGTACTTCTGGCTCTCCACTAGAGGTGCAACATGTTCTTTCTAATCCCGTCCTGGGTCCAGTCTGTAAACAAGGAACTACAGACTTCTCCTTTGTTTTCCTACTGCCATTTCCTTAACCCAAGCTCTTCTCCACTCATCTTCGTAAGAGGTTCTCATCTCCCCAGCTTCAAATCTTTTCTACCTACGAATCCTACAAACCATCCTAGTAATTCGCTCTCTACTAAAAGTCTACAATAGCAACTATGTGCCCACAGAACTGAGCCCAAGCTCCTCTGCCTATGGCTCATGGCAATTCAAAATCTGTGCCTGGAGGGCCAGCAGGTGGCGTGGCGGTTAAGGGCGCTGGACTCCCATTCAGCTGACTGCAGTTCGAGTCCTGGACCTGGCAGCTTGCTTTCTTCCATTTCCACTCTCTGGTCAACTTGAAAAGTAATAACAAATTAAATAAAATAAATAAATAATTCTTTAAAAAAAAAATCTTTGGCCAGATAGTAAAGGCAGTCAGATCCCACATGGCCAGCAACTGGGCTGTCGGAAGTCATGACGCATTTTTGCACAGAAAAACAGAGAGAAAATACATCATGACTTTTCTGACAACCCAATACCTGGTCTGAGTCTCAGAGCTGGTGGCGTGTGAAACATGCTGGGCACAGGTGTGTGCGTGCCTGAAATCCCAAAAGGAGAGGGACAGAAGAGAAGGGTTGTAGGGTGACCATTCCCATGGAGACTGCTTTCTCTTCTCCCTCTCTCTCTCTGCAGGACACACAGACCCTCTAGTCAAAAGATAAAGATTCATATTGGTTAATTATATTAAAAAAAAAAAAAGAAAAGAAAAAGTCCCACTGCCTGGGCTGGCTCCGTGGCACAGCAGTAGCTCAGTACTAAAGAGAAGGCGGACCTCACAAGTTCGCCACGCTCGAATCCTCAGCCCAGTCTGTCTGAAACCCGCAGGTGGGATGGACATGCCTAGGGGGACCGAGGGCCCATGGACTGGAAAACTAGAGGGAGGGGACTGATACTAGGCCAGACCCTGGGAAGATTTAAAAAAAAAATTCCCATTGTTTTCAAGCTATGTAAAAACCATTCCTGGCAAAAAGAAAATCATAAACTATTATTTGCTTCTTACATAAAAGGAATTAAGAATGAACTGCATTTAGTAAAACTGTATACTAATGTTAACTTCGTTTTAGGTCAATTCAGTGAAAATGTGCTAAACTGAAGAGACTGCAATCAGCGAAAGAAAAGGCTGTCAGTGAACATCACCAGGACTCAGGCTAAAGCAGCTCTTGGCACTGACGTCCTCCTTTCTGTGGCCTCCTTTGCTACTATTTCAGAAATGAGATTCTGCCCTCTTCTGGCTCTGAAAAGGCGTACAAGGAATTTTCAGAAGCGCTGGAAAGCCTTGCTTACTACTCCTAGGCACTTACTTAGATATCCTAGATGAACTTGTGAGGTCTAACACAGAGCCGGTCAATTTCCATCTCTTTCTCTTTCCGTATGTCTCTCTGGAAGTTCCTGTGATAGTTTATAACTTTCAATATGTTCTGCCCTCTTCTGGCTCTGAAAAGGCGTACAAGGAATTTTCAGAAGCGCTGGAAAGCCTTGCTTACTACTCCTAGGCACTTACTTAGATATCCTAGATGAACTTGTGAGGTCTAACACAGAGCCGGTCAATTTCCATCTCTTTCTCTTTCCGTATGTCTCTCTGGAAGTTCCTGTGATAGTTTATAACTTTCAATATGTTTAATGGTTTTTTTTTTTTTTTTTTTTGTAAAAGTGTAGCTGAAAGAAGGAATTTGAAACATCATTTAAAGCTTATCTATGTGGTACATATGATCTAATCAACCAGTCCACACTCGGAGACGAGTAAGACGGTGCTTCTGTTACAGTCTTGATAGCTGGTCCGAATTTCCCCAAGGTGGAGCGAACTCTCGGCCATCTACTTAATAGACCGTGTGAGAACCACTGAGATAGTACCTCGTGAGTGCTTTAAATATTTCTGGTAGGTACTACAGAATTTGTATTTACAAACACAGAAAAACCTCAGTGCTTGGCTTACTCAAAAGAGGAGTGGAAAGTATCTAGCTAGACTCGAGGTCACGGGTAGAGAAACGAACAGATTGGGCTAAACGTGTCAGAAACAGAACAAGACTGCAACGAAGCGATGTGGGGTAGGAAGAGAGCCCAAAACCGCTTGGCAGTTGACAGGCTGCGAGGACATTAACTGAGTTCAGAGACACTAGATGAACAGACAAGTTTCAGAGGAGCTGACTAAGTTCCGTTTCGGACATTCGCGGATATCCTAAAGAATGCAAGGTTTTTCTTTTTACCTCGAAGAGTCAAGAGGTCGAAATTATTCACAGTAGCACTAGCACAGTATTTAGCTTTTCTGCCTTCGTTCTTCTGTGAGTGGTCAGTGGAGTGTCCTAGACGCTACGTAACGTGTACTATTACACCAGACTGAGGGCAAGAGAGCCGTAAGAACTCAGCTGTCCTCTGTTACCCAGGCATTAGAGACTTACAGAAAAAGGTAACGCGGTGTCACTTTTCTCACGATATATTTTTTTGAAAACAGTTGTATTTTCTTAAAAATATTATCTATGTTACTATATGCTGGATTTTTTTTTCCTTTTTTTTTTTTTTTTTTGGAGAGCTTTTGCTGTGGGGCGTGTGCGCTCGCCAGACAAAGAGAGACAGAGAGACAGAAAGCGAGCAATCAGCCCTCTGTGGTGTGGCGGCGTCTGTCCTGCTACACCCACTACACCACCGTCCAGTTTACCGCCTTTACTATGCTCCGGCATTCACGACAATTATCACCTTTGTCTGTTCCCTCTCCCTCTAAGAGGGAGCTCCTCGGGGAGTCTGTCTTGCTCAGTGAAAGACTCATAATGATCCTAGCAACGCAGCATACTCAGTAAGGAGCTGGTAAGTGACCAGGACTGAACACCTCGAAACCATTCTGGACCAAGGGAGATCGATGTGAGCGATACACCCTCTGTAAATGTTCACTGAATCAATGAACATTTAAAAATTCTTAGCAGCAAAGGTCATCTACCTTGCTCAGTACCACCAGGTTCGGGGGGCTGTGCAAAGCACAGGAAATGTGAAAGAAGCTGCAACATAGCTTCTACCTTGGAAAGTTTACGATCTCGTTTGGATTATGCTAATTCTTAAATGGTTACCGTGAGTATTAGAAGTTCCTAAAGGACTCTCTCCCACAGACGATTACCAGATTATAATGTCTCGATATAAGCTTTGAAGTTTTGAACGTGGAGGTTATGAAGCAGATTTGGAAGCTATCCGGGAATCGTCCTCTCCCGGCCCCACTCTAACAGAGACCTGGCATCCCTCTGCTGGAAGCACTCCTGGCAGTCACTGCTGTCCTTTGTCCACTCTCCCGAACGTGTCAGTCTGTCTTTTTGCTTCACATGCAACTATGCAACTATTACTGCTCTACCATTTGCCTCACCAAAATCCCAAGTTTCTATTAACGGTAACATCCATGAAGCCATTCTTACAAACTTGGAGGCAGCTCTGACTTTTCTAATCAGGTACAATTTGAATTCTTTAACTTAACCTCCAAGACTTCTCCCATGTGCCTATAAATAACCTTTATTCCCTGCATTTTCTCTTTTCAGTCTTACTTTGTAAATTACTATGATAATGATTAAAAGCTAGTCAATTATTATCCAAATACGCAACAGCTTTTTTTAACTCCTGTACTTCCTGGAAGAGGTTCAATGCCCCTGCTGGAATAGCCTCCTCCATATAGTTCTATTTAAAACCTCACTTATCCTTTAGGTTCCATATCAAATTTCCCCTTCTCTGTTATACTTAATGCACTGACTTCAGCTAAAAGTGACTTTATCTCCACCTTCACAGCACTCTGCAGGAGAAAGCGAGCTGATACTTCCATCGTTTGCCTTTCGCTATCATCACTTGGGTAAGTGCCTTGGGTCATTTTCCAACTTGTTATTTACTACTGGCCTCCACCCTGAACATTTCTGAAGCTTTCATGGCATTTAGCACAGTGTCACAAACAGGACACATCTTTGCTGGATAAGGAAAAATTAACTGTGTCAACTGGCACCCTGCCAGGAAATCTGGTCTTTCAAACTGAGGCAGCCCAGTGATGGGCAGGAACAGGAAGCCACTCTCTGCAGGGTAGGAAGGACAACAGAAGGAAGCAGTGCCACCCGGAATCCAGACACGGGGGTTGTCCGGTGGGCCGGAACCACAACAGAAACGACCTGAGGACGCTGGAGAAGGGCTGTCCGAGGGGAGAAGGAACCACACGAAAGTGCAACTTGTGCCAGAGAGAAAAAGGGAGGCAGAACACAAGCCACGCTGACCTCTTCCCAGCTCCTGCCCACTCTCCTTCTAGCCCCTCCTAGTGGCCAAGTCTCACAAAATGAAAGGGCGAGGAGGAAGCTCTGAATACAAAGCTAAGTGGGAAAAGTTGACAATTAAATCCTTCAACTATTAAGTTATTTTCTTCTGTTGTTGTACCTTTTAATCATGCCTAAAAAACTCATAAATGCAAGGATATATATATTGTCAAATTTAAGGTATATGTTGGACATTACCCATTTTTAAGTACCTAGCACCTGGGGTATGCCAAAATAAATGAGGCTAGGAGCTTACTCTCAACCACGGAAAACAAAACAGGGTGGGTCTCCCTTCTTCTGAGCCGAGAGACAGTACAGGCCTGTGATGTAAATGAACGCTCCTATCTGGGTACTGACTCTGAAGAGCAGTTCTATAAGGACAGAATACTCTCGGTGGCTACCGGAAACCCGAGAGTTCAGCAGTATGGCACTACCAGAGAAGCAGAGCACACAGGAGCCAGCGGCATGGCAGGGACGGCACCGACGAATGTGTCCTGAGCAGGCTGATCTGCGGCAGGACCCTGGCCAAGACTGCTTCCGAATCTACTTCCTACCCTTATGTTAAAACTAGTCTTCAGTCTGACAGTTCTGCGAATTCCTTTATTCCTAGAATTAGTCAATTCTGTTGGGTGCATCTCAGACCTATAATTAGTATAAGCTACTGACTGACACGAGCTGAGAAACCCAAGTATTAGCACAGTCACGTGCCTTACATTCTCTGATGTGCTCTTATTGGACATCGGAACATTGCCGAGAAACTTCATTACAGTATACACCCAGTATTAGTCAGTGCCTTTGTAAAGTGACCCCTGGGACTACGTAAGCTGCCGGAAGCTGACGGGATACCTTTTCCAAGGTGAGAAGGTTTATTTCAGACTGTAGTCGGATTTCTGGCTTGCTACTTTGTTGATCCTTGAACTGTTGGAACTCTTTTTCCAAAATCTTATACTTATTTTCAGCATCACTTAGCTGTATTAAAAAAAAAAAAAAAAAAAAAAAAAAAAAAAAAAAAAAAAAAAAAAAAAAAAAAAAAAAAAAAAAAAAAAAAAAAAATTAGAGTTATTTTAAAACAATGATATACAAAGTTTAACAACAAAGAATTTCACAGTGTTAACTTTTTTCATATTCTAAAGAATGTTTATAGTAGAAAATGTGGAAAACACACGAATATAATCGGAAAAATAAAGATCCCTGAGTAATTAAAAAGGCAGTTTAATAAACTCATCAGCCACATGCAATACCTTCTGAAGGATATGAAACTTCTTATAAAATCAATATGGGAATGTTTTTGTCAAATTTTAGATGTCAAATGGAAACGTCACTTTATAGAAACATAGATACTTCCTATACACTTCTTTTAAGATGTCACATGTAAAAAAGATCAAACTAATTATAGATATATCAGATTATCCATGAAAGTAAAAATAAGCACACTTTTAATGTATTTACTGTTCTTATAGTCTGAAAACTGTATGGATTTTATATATTCACATACTATTATAGCTTAAAGCAACTGAAAGATTAGTCCATCCATTTCCTTCATGACTACAGGTAAAAAAATTGAGGGACAAAGTGCTAAACAATTAAGGCAGTGCTGAAAACCCAGTGAGTGCATCAAAACCAGAAGCAAAACTAGAAGTCAATCTTCTCATCCCCTAGAGTAATGTGCGAATGAAAGCAGTCGATATTTCCTTAAAAAAAAAAAGTTAGACTGTCTTGATTAAATACTACTTCTTTAAGAACAGCTTCAAAATTAAAATAAAAATGAGGGTATAAAGACATTCTTTTGGAATCTGGGATTATTTTTTAATCAAATGCAAACAAGATTTGTTGAAGATGCTTTCCGAAAACATACTGTTATGACTTTCATTAGGTAGGCTTTCATTAGTCTCACATCTCAAGGTGTAAGACTTAACTAAGTTTGAAATATTGAGAAAATTGGGACCAGCAGTTGGCATAATGGCTATGTTCCTGGAATCCCACGTAGTCGACCGTGGTTCAAGTCCTGGACCCGGTGACTTAAACTCACACCGGGCGCATATTTTTTGCTTTCTGTCTCTATGTCTCTCTCTGTCTGGCGAGCGCACACGCCCTATAGCAAAAACCTCTCAAAAAAAAAAAAATTGAGAAAATTCATGACAAAATGGAACTTTTATAAATAATACAACAATTCTAATTAAGATTTATCTAGCATTTTTTTAGGTCAAGGTGTTCCATTTGTAAGATTTTCCCATATAACTAAAGTTTACTCCTAACATCCAAAGTTGAATAGAAATCTCTCTCTCTTTCTCTCTCTCTCGCTCCCTCTCCCCCTTTCAATTGCCAGAGGACATGTGCACCAGACAGAAACAGAAAGAAGGAGCAAGCCTCTCCCCACGATGCAGCGTGGTCAGGCCGCAATCCCTTCTCCATTCCTCTGTCCTATAGGGATGTGGAACGTGCATACACACATGCCTGGCACGTTTTTCAAGCTGGAATTCAAACCACAACCAACCATGTGGGACCTGACTCCTTTAAGCCCTAGGTTATGGGGGTCAGCCTGGATGAAAACGTTTGTAAAGTATCTCTCTCACTGTTCTGTTTAAAACAAAAGCTAACAAACTAAATATTACAGCTGGTAGTATCTTTACTAAGGACATTACTACAAACAAATACTGTTAACAATCAGGTTGCAAAGCAGCAGGCTATTCAAATATGCTGGGCTTTTTCTTTAGCTGGTTCAGAAACAGTGATTTTGTGTTTTGGTTCCTTCTTATCTGCTTGAAAATAGGTACTTTATCTTTATCAGCTCTCACTGACAGTGTATTTTTACCTGTTCCTTCAACCTGTCTAGTTGGAATTGTGCAATCTCGTCAGAGCAAGGGCTTGAAAAGTCTCCCTTCACTTAAAATGTGAAATACACATAACCGTGGCTTTGGCAATGTGGGCCTCTTAGACTCTCCCTCGTCCCCTTGCTCCATTTTCCTCGGGTCTACAAACAGCAAAGCTTCAAGAACAGAGGTGTCCTGTGATCGTTTTTCTAAAATACCAGTTCTTCCCACCAAGGTTCTTCCTACAAACACGTAAGCTAATATATAACCATACGAGTCCTGGATAGAGCACAGACGTGTGCATTTGAAGAACCCCCCTAGTAGTTTTAGTATGTTAGAAGACTTTATTCTAGAGGGCTGAATTCTCCTGCTAAGTGTAAGAAGAGAAAGATTATTGCACACTGCCCACTTTTACAACTTTATTTTTCTTTTTCTAAAGAAGATTCCTGTGGTAATAAATTTAGATTTATGATCACCTAAATAATGTGACTGTAACTGACCCTAAGCTACTATGGAAATTGTTCTTTATGACAGAATTTACTGAAGACTTCAGAAACATTTATCATCTATATATAATCTACACTGAAAACTATCAAGAAAGGTAAATTAATTTTAAATAACTTGATCCCTTTTTCTTGGGGGGGGTATAAAAAATTCTTGAGCCTATATTAATGTGCTGACAACCGCTCTGGGCTCCAGACAGACAGCTGCTAACCAAAACAGTTTTTATGGAGTGCTCTGAAACTGATTTATAACAAAAATAAAAGCAAACTGATGTATCATAAAGAATAATAAGAGAATAATGTTCCATGAGAACATAAAATAAAAATCTGACTTAGAATCAGGGAGCAGAGGTCAGAGAAGATTTCTTAGGGTAAGTGATATTTTAGCCAAGAAGAATGAATAGAATTCAGAGGGCCTAGGAAAAACAGCACACGTGAAGACGCTGTGGGCGAAGTGAGCACAGCATGCTTGAGGACTTGACAGAGACCAGGGTGGCCTGAAAGTACAAGGACGAGGCGAAAGACTGGGACATGAGGTAGGAGACGGGCCTGGCCAAGCTACGCAGATCTTTGTAGAGCAAAGTAACGGTTCTGATCTTTACCATAAGAGCAACAAGAACACGTGGAAAGATTTTTAAAGAGGAAGATGTCATGATTCCCAAATTTCAAAAATATTATTCTGCATGCAACATGGGCAGATAGAGGTCCCCATCACAGAAAAGAAGGTCTGGTATGCATGGGAGGATTGCACTGCCTCTTAAATGCCTTTAAGACTTCTGAGTAGGGACCAGCAGTTATGGCTGTAATGGCTATGTCGCTGGACTCCCATGTAGTCGACCGTGATTCGAGTCCTGGACCCAGTGGCTTAAACTCACATCGGGCACGTGTGCGTGTATGCCCAAGATCCCGAGAGGAGAATGGAGGAGGAGGGATTGCAGCAAGGCCATCCCCCCTGGGGGGTGATTTCTCACTTTCTGTCTCTCTGTCTCTCTCTGTCCTTCTGGTGAGTGCACGCGCCCTATAGCAAAAACCTCTCCAAAAAAAAAGAAAAAAAAAAAAAACAAAAAGACTTCTGAGTAGAAACCTCAGAAAGGCAATTAGATACGTAGGTGTGAGGGCAAAAAAAAGGGCTTGGAAGTAAAGTTAAAGTCTCTAGACGTGCAGATGGTCTCTGAAGTCATGGGCATGGATAAGACTGTTTGGTAGAAGGAAGTCCTGAGCTTGGAGGAGGTCCAACACTCACTGGCCAGATAAAGGAAGAGAGGCTGGGGAGGAGCCTGCGGTGTGCCATGGTGGCAGAGAGCATGCAGGGCCGAGGTCAACAGTGTTGCTGGTGTCAGTAACTCCGAGGGAATGAGATGAGAAGTGAAGTGTCCACTGAACCTAGTGACGAAGCCGTCGATCACTGGCTGGCTGGACAATGGAGACAGAGAGCAGAGCGGCACTGGCCGAGCACCGGGGTGAGCACGCGGAGCGGCACTGGCCGAGCACCGGGGTGAGCACGCGGAGCGGCACTGGCCGAGCACCGGGGGGGGG